TGACTTGAAAAACCTTATCCATGCCAGACACTTTGACCTTGTACACACGCTCAATTTCCGATCGCTCTGACTCCACCCTTATCCAACATGCCGACTTTTCAACCTCGTCTCTGAATAAGAAGAATGCGTTCTTTGTGAAAACCGCCGCTCCACTCTTCTGAAGTGAGACTAAGACATTGCTTGTGATGGTTCGTTCTCGATGAATGGATTCAAAATCAGCATGACGCTCATTCTCCCTCAAATACCTAGTCCAACGATCAAAGCGAATAAAGAACTTAAGGAGATTTTTATCCTTCTCGATATAATTGGCAAGTTGAGAGTTCAGTCCTTCACATCTTGATGTTATACTCAAGCTTGCGAAGAACTTCGAACGCATATATGCAAACCCCCATTTATGTCTTTGCTCAAATAAATTGGAGACCCAATTGTTGTGCTGAAGGGAGCATTCCTCAACCACTGATTTCCACTTTTCTTCGAATTCTGAAGGTTCCCAATTAGCTGACACAAAATGCTTCCATCAGGAAAAAAGTAGGATGATTCTTCACATTTCTGGTTATAGTCTTGTCTATATGCCAAGAACATAGACGATGTGTTGCATCGGGAAATACTTTCTTAATAGCATTACGCATTGCTCTATCCCCATCTGTAATAATAATCTTGGGATCTACACCGCCTAGCCTTCTCTTCAAAGCTGCCAACACCCAAATATAATTTTTCTCTCTCTCGTTAGCCAAGAAAGCACATGCAAATACGCAAGTTTGCGAATGGTGGTTGACACCTAAAAAAGTACAAAATAAGTTAGATTATGCAAACTGCTAGGGTTATTTTAGCATGCTCGGGATAATTCTATGTGTGAAGGAAAAGTACCTGAAAAAATCACGAGAGGCATCTGGTAAATGTTCCTCTTGTAAGTAGCATTGAATGATAGTAATTCTCCAAAGCATGCATAATCAGCAACAACAACACTATCGGCCCACAAGATGTTAATAAGTCGGTCGTCGTCATCCTTCTTTAGTTCAATAATGAAATGATCGTCCGCGCTGCATTTAGCTTGCAGGTAGGCTAGGGCTGTTGCGGCATCACCTTCACTGATTTGTTCTTTCCTCTCTTTGTCCACATAATTATATGCATCCTTCCTCGTGTACCCCAAATTGTCGTAGCCTCCTGCTTCTGATACAGCCAGATTCACAATTTGAGAAGTTTTCATACCTGCAGCTCTTCTAAAATTTATCGCTGCTTTAACTGCATCACTCATACAACGTTTCCCTTTCATGTAGTGTCTATATTCTCTGGGGATCGTTTCATGTGTGTGTACATCATCAAACTGGTGCACATACCACTTCCCATTGACCTTGTCGTGTTTAACACGCATCTTGGCTCTACAGTTAAATATGGTCTCCCCTCTTGTTTCTCTCTTTCGTTATGTGTTTTTCATGCGCCTCTTTCCCTCGCCAGAGCATACATAGTCACGCCATATCATAGGCTTCTTCTGTATCATCGAACTTCATTTTTTTAATATCTTCAGGTTGTAGAAATATGAGATCGGTGACATTATCTTCCTGGGTGGTGTGAATGGCTCCGACACCATCGTTTTCTTGGACTGGCTCCGACATCAATGGTGGGTCTGCTTCCGACGTCATAGTCACTTCGGGAAATTTTGGGGAACCAAGGATGTAGATTACAGAAACCTACTGGGAATGATGGCCGAATTAATGCTTGAATGGGCCACTTAATAATTATCCCCATTAAATCGAATCATACCACGATTTGTGATATCTTATTTTTTTGGTAGGAACGATTTGAACTTTCTATTCTTTATCTTAGTGATTTCTTTATCTTAAAATGAAAAGGAATGCTTAGTAAATCCAAACGCCAGCCGACTCTAGCTGTGTACTACGTGTATGGGGAAGGATCAAATATTAATATGATCAAATATTTACTAATAGCACTCAATTTTTTATTCAATAGAAAGCAAAATATATTTTTATTTTTAGGTTTAATAACTACCCATGTTTATCCCAAGTTCATGTACCTTAGACTAAACCCTAACTATTTTTCCGCGGGAAAAATATGCCGACACATTTTATCCATGTAACCTTGTATATATAATTAATCTTCAGCGGTAGAGAAGTGGTGCCATATCCTTCTTTGCCGCAATTTTGAGTACAGACTAAAGCTTAGAGGCACAACATGGAACATAGGAGGATTACTCACTTTTCGTCCAAACTTGTGGTATGTCTAATAGCTCTTTAACCATTGAAATTCATTCTAGTTAATTTATTAATCGTAGGTTCACTATCATTATAGGAGATCGCCGAATTTGTGACTCCAACAAAGAAACCAAGGCTACCCAAAGGTGTAAGCACTCCATCCACTCCTGCTTCAGTCATCGTTTTTATTTCGGAAGATGAATCTGACTCTGAGGTAACACCAAAGAAGCCAAATGGAAAAAAGTATTTCTCTAAGTTCTGTTGACAAGGTAATAATGGTGTCCTATTTGCCATTGAAGTGTTCTTTGCCGTTATTCCGTCAGACATAAAGAATGCATTTTGACTCGCGTTTATTTGTGGTCCCTATTCCAGGTTGTTTTGAAGTTTAAGCTACCTACTATGATGAGCAAATCCAGCTTGCTCACTATATATTTTTAGCCAATCTTCCACCTGATGAAGTATTTGTCAAAACCTCAAACAAGTCTTGTACCAGGAAGTCATTGTGGTCCTTAAGTCCTCGCTCATTCGTAGATGCTGAAGTAATCAACGGAAGTCCAAAATCTATAGTATCATGAAGTGTTTTTTGTCCATGTTATATTAGGTTATAAGAGCGGTGGCCTGCCACTTGACTCTAGAAGAGTTGTGGACAAATTCTAAAGACGGAAAAGGAGTGTGCTATCTGCCTGCTGAACTACAGGTTGTGGTCCGATTATGCTTAAGATTAATTTCCTCTCACCAAAAAAATACAACACATGTTTATTTAACGTGAATGATATTGTGTTGACAAAATTTCAATTGTGCAACTACCACATAGGCAGGAACTAGTGATTTCATGTGGAATAACACCCAAGAGGGAATTAGAGCTATACAAATCAAAATTCCTTAGTCGAACCAATAGGGTGAACAAGGTAAACTGTTCGTCTTAATAAGTATTACATGGTTTGCAGTTTATTTTTTTAATACATGTTGACAATTTCTGCATATGTAGGTGTGTGTTCCGATGGGAGATAATGCCCATTGGTACTTGCCTGTCATTAAGTTGGACAAGGAAGAAGTCCAGATCTTGGATCCACAACCAAATGAAGACCGCAATTCCTTTTGACTACAATATGTTCAAACAATGGTAAATTTGTGACATTGTGCCATTATAACGCAAAAAAAATGTAAATACCTCTTTCTAAATACAAATGTTTGTTAATTTTTACAGATGATATTTATGCAAGCCTTGTGGAAGATTCTCTATCGTGAACAAGGTCCGGGATTGTCGCCACCAAGGATTGCAGAGTTTTCATACACAAATCCTTCAAAGGATCAAGAACAACTTCATTGGTAATTATGCCCATTTTGTGTGATATTAAACGAAGACTTATCAACTTGGTTCTTATCATGCAATGCTTTCATTTTATGTAGGTCTGACAGTGGAGTCTGGGTCTGCATGTGGATGTATGGCGCAAGCTGGGACTCCTCTTATATTTGGGTAAAGACAATTCTAGTTCGCATATTAGAAAACCACTCTTGATTGTTATTTTTGAATCATGCGTACCATGTTTGTTGATGTTGATAGCCGTGCACTCAAGTGAGGAGGATGCAGATTGCTTTGTACCTTGTTCGAGAGCCCATGAACTACATACGGCATATGGTGCTGACGGAAGCAAGAACAGTTGCACCTCAAGTTGAAGCTGCAGTCGAAGAGTACAAGAAAGACCATGAAAGGAGGAAAAAGGAAAGAGAAGAGCACAAGGAAACTCAGTCAAAGAGCACAAGGACAATCTGATTTTGCGTTTTTTTTTTCAAGATGATGGACAACCATGTTATGTTTTTTTTTTCAAGATGATGGACAACCATTTTTGGTTTGGTTTGGTGAATGCTTTCTATATTTGTTTTTTTGGTTTGGTTTGGTTTGTTTTTTTAATGATGAACACGATATCTCGAGTTCTATATTTGGTGAATGCTTTCTATATTTGTTTTTTTGGTTTGGTTTGGTTTGTTTTTCCGTGGAAACTATATTGACTTTTCGGACAGCCATCCCTTCCGAATCAAGTCTCAAAGTATCTAGCTTTAACCTAGCTACTACCTTAGCCAACAAGTGGTAATTTCCAGTTTTCCAGTTACACTTTTGCACAACCTGAAAAAGACCTTCTGGACTTGATCTCCAGCTCCCAAGTAATCCCCGGTGTTCACAAATATCCCAGGTTCAATACAAATCAATAAAATCTCATTTTCATCGAGTCATGCGTGACGAACAGGCTTCCAAAGTGAGCTGTCCGAAATGGCAAAGGGACTTGACCAAAATTCAAGCTTCCAACTTGTGAGTGAGGTTGCTTCTGTTCAAGCCATTGTATCTTATAGAGAGGTTTAATTGAGATCATATCATTCCACTTCGTTCCCAATTGCCCTTGTCTAATTAAATTTGAATTCATGTATAGTTAACTCAAAAAGTAAAACTGATTGGCTCCCAATCAGCATAATTAATGACCAAACCCCGTACAAGGCAGATAGAAAATTCTTAGGTAATTAATTTAATGCTCCTAGGATATGGAAAGACTTCCATTCCTTGAATTTCCACCAACGATGTATGCACTCTGCTTTTAGTGAGAGAATTCATTGTATTAATAAATACAATAAAAATGCCTACATAATTAATGGATTCTTTATTGTGTATAATTAAAAGGGTATTTTACTATAAACGAAGCATGATAGATTCACCGGGGAAATAAAAGAAGCATGAGTCTTGATGAAAAAGGGATAAAAATCACCATATATAAAACATTATTATAATTAATCCATATCCATACTATTCACGCCTATCATCGTCACTATACTTGTGACCAAATATAAATAAAATCATAATTTTTGAAAACCATTAAAAATTGAAGATGAAATAAGTAACACATTCTGCGACCTAATTGGAACTGCTTAGAACAAAAGCGGATTAAAATCTCTCCCAATGAAATTCATTTGCAATTTCATAGGTACTCCCTACTTTCACTTCTATAATTTTGAGAAAACACCACTTCTCAACTTCATCATCTCTCCAACAATGAAAGTCAATTTCAATTTAATCAATAGTCCCCAACTTTCACTTCTATAATTTTGAGAAAACACCACTTCTCAACTTCATCATCTCTCCAACAATGAAAGTCAATTTCAATTTAATCAATAGTCCCCACTCCTGGGCCCATTTCAATTGCAAGCAAATTTGCACACCAAGCAAATTTGCACACTTGCAATGGCACCCCACATCAGCTTGCAAGTCACTATAATTGCACCATTGGAGATGCTCTTATGCAAATTTGCACCCTTGCAATAGCTTCTCACATCATAGCAATTTAAAGATGCAATTGCACCTCCTTGCCACATCAACTTGCAAGACACAAACATTGCACCATTGGAGATGACCATTACTGCATCTCGTCACCTGTCTTAGGTAACTTAGCCATGGCAAATTCAAAAAATACTGCATGCATGGAAAAATCCAGGTATGGACAATTCAAAATATAGGACACTTTCCTAGTAAGATGATGTACTGGCTCCCTCAATACCTGACAGTTTTGAGTGCTGGAGAATTAAGGAAAAGACAAAAGACTAGAAAAAAACCTAACAAAGACTTAGGAAACTTGTTGACAGAAGAGATCCATTGCTGGCCCCTTTGGTGCTCCAACGCTCCACCCCGCCCTGCATCAATCGAATCTCATGTAAGCCGAGGAAGTTTGCTTGAGGAGGCCTCAGGGGTCTCTTGATGCTCCGTATGCCGAAGATCAATAAAAGTATTGGTCAATTCGGCTATACGGTACACCGGCAAATAAGCGCACTGGTCCTCCTTAACATAAACCCCCATATCCATCCCAACCCTTTCAAGAAAGGTGGTCACGAAGGTGGCATAGGGAAAGGCAGTATACCGGTTTTACCCTCTAGGAGCAGCCTCAACCATGTTCAGGCACATGAGAGATGCGAGGTTAACAGGAACACCTCATTGAGCTTGCACAAGGATAAACAAGTCAAGTTTACGAATAATCGAATGACCATGGTACCTTGGCAGGAAGCAGTTGACGATCAACCAGTGGAGGAATCGAAGAGGATCTGGGAGGAAAGAAGACTGGATGCGCCCCTTCGTGAGTTTCGCCAGTTCAACTCAAACTCAAAATCGTACAGCCGCCCAAGATCGCTTCTGCTCTCAATGGGGTGTCCTCCGGCGGGAAGATCTCAGCAAACTGATGCGGCTAGAAGCAGACTCTATGTCCCATGAAGATCGACACGAGATGAGAATCACAGGGACCAGAAAGCTGTAGATTGTGGTAGAACTTCCTCACCACATGGGGGCATTTACTAGTACTTCCTCAACTCCGGAGATCAAATAACTTTTCACAGCCAAGATTTTTTATTAACATCTTCACTGCTGGAGGGAAAGGACTTAGGTGGATGAACTCGTACTCGGCCACAATTGTTGTTTTGCTTGTAAATGAAAGATAGTCACCAAGACTGGCGGTGGATCGGCAGTCTTCATTTGATAGAGATAGTATCCCCATTTCCGCAAACGATCTACTTTTTTTTGCCATGGATTCTAGAGGAAGAAGTAACAAGGGGAAGGTGAAGATGGAGGAGAGAGAGAATGTAGGTTTAAGAAAAAGTGATCGTGGGGGTTGAGTCTGGAATGTCAAGAGTTAGAAGATTTCAGAAGATATGTAATGATGATGGTAACTCGTGTAGGTTAAACTAGGGTAAGTAAAGCTAGTTAAACTAGGGTTGGCGCACGAATTGATACGCCAGGAGAAATCAAATGGGCTCGCACGTTCCAGGCCCACTTTTGAATATTGCATGGATGATGTACAAGCCCACTTTTGAATATTATTTAAAAGCCTGCAAAAATCAATGATCAGACCCAGTCCAACTAGAATTAGTCCTAAACGCACCGTTAATACATAAACACAAATTAAGGAGACCTCTCCATCCGATTCGAATCAAATTATGTCTTCTTCCTCTCCTTCCTCAATCCTCTGGGTGAGACGAACACTACATATCAGGAAACCTTAATTTCACCGAGTGATAGAAGTTTCGAGAAAATGACAATAACGGTAAGACAAGATGACAAAGCATTAGCGACATGAACCCTAGGGTTAGCAAAATGAAAATTTTGATGAACACAATGATAGACATGGGCGCCATAATCGTGTTAGAAAGAGATAGTCGAGGGGAAATAAAATGGCGAAGAACAAACTAGACAAAATAAATTGGGAAATTCAAACTACGTCGAATGTGGATGCAAGTAATTGGGATTCAAAAAGATAATTAAGTTGGGGAGTTCAAATTGGATGGGGAGCTTCTCTTGGAACTGTGAAGGGGCGTCCCTCTAAGACGAGAGAGGGATCGTGTAATTGGTTAGGGCGGCAGTGGGTATACCCAATTGGGTTTGCAGCCTTAATCCATTTAATTTAATCAGGGCAGTTAGTTGGACTAGGATGAAAACAATCTTAACGCGTAAGGAGGCTTTTTGTAATTTGTTTATTTATTTAGTGGCGCAGTTAGGTTTAACAAACGTGAGCCGTGGAGATTGAAAATGAATGGTTAAGATCGGCTAAGGTACCCGTACCCCGGATTTTGCCCTGGGCACCATAGAAGTCACCATATATATATATATAGTCTAAAAAAAGTAAGGGCAAAAGTGATATTTCTCACAAAAAATAGTATAACATGTCGAATTCAAGAACTATCACCATTGACCATAATACAGTAATTTAAGTATCACCAAAACCAAATGACACCTTACTTTACATTGTTTGGTTTTGGTGATAGTTTTTTTTAGTATTCAAAATGTTATATTACTTTTTGTAATAAAGATCACTTTGCCCTTGCTTTTATGAGAACATATATATATATATATATATATATGGATGGTTCTATCATACCTTGGGGGAAATCAAAGGTATGGCATACCTTGAGTAATAAAATGATATCTAGATTTTGATTTGACCGGAGTTTGGTATCTGGTACTGTTCCTAAACCTTTAAGATTAAAATCTAGGTCTTAATTCTATAAATCTCACACACTAAGATAAATTTAATTAGAAACAAAAATCACCGGTCATGATTCATCGAAATATATGCAACAAACTACATGCACAATCTTAGGGGTTAGGCTCTATGATCTAAATAACTAAGACCTAGGGTTCACTCATCAAGGACTATGGTATAATATCATGCCCAAAAAATTGGTTAATTCGAGGTCTAGATAGCGTTTTTCAACTGAAGGTATGTCGTACCCTAAATTATACCTGAGCTACGATAGAAGCCACCATATATATATAACTAGCGATATACTTGGACAAAAAATGAACTCAATAATCTCCTCAAAACTATCTCAACAATATGATGTTTTAGTAGGATAGTACTATCACTCATTTTAAGTCATAGTTTTCATCACATCAAGCAAACAATGCATGTATTGTTTGTGCAGAAAATTTAAAAAAAAAACAATGCATTGTAGACAATACATGCATTGTAATTATCCCAGCCAAACAATCACCAAAACCAAACGACCACTAGTTTTACATTCTCAAAATTTACTTAATGTATTAGTCAAAGTGGGACAGTAAGACAGATATTTTTATTTCACTCAACTTTTTAGCCCATTTCAAGAAATTAACTCAAATTAGTGAGAAACTTATTAATTGTTTTCAATACATATTTTTTTATTGTACCAATATCGAGTTGAGTAGTGAGTTCTGCGAGCCAAACAAAACTCTATCTCAAGGTTAACTCATCAGTAGACAAACTCGTTCGCAAGGCGGCTCATTGAATAACGAGTTGATGATTGATTCATTGACATTCCTATCGTAAACCATGTATATTATGCTTGGTGAAATTGCATAATGTGTTTGGTGGAATGCATCTAAATACTTTTTGAAGACTAAGTCAGAGTGATAAATAAGAATAGTATTCAAAATTTTGTTAAAATCATAACATCAATGAGGTTGTAAGTTCCGATCCGATGCTCTCGTATTGGATCATGTATGACTGTCAGGGGATCTCCGAACCTCGGTTGGTTTTGAATGAAAGGTAGGGTGCTGCTGCATCCATTATAAAAAAAAATGTACTATCTTTATCGTCCGAAACAAAGCTACAACAATGGCCAATCGTGTGAGGGATAATTAATTTTCGGGTAATTAGCATAAATGATCACAAACCTTTGCACTTAGTACAAAACAGTCACAAACCTTTAATTTGTAACCATTTGATAACAAAACTTTTTAATTATAACAAAACGGTCACAAATTAAACAGTGTGACCATTTCATACCAGTTCAAACTTTTGTTACCATGTCGTTGCAAATTAGACTTTTGGTGACCGTTTTGTACAAATTAAGTTCAAAAGTTTGAACGATCAATCACCGTTACAATTCGCTCTAGTTGTATGGTGGTTTTGTTAATGTATGTGAATGATATGATCGTCATAAAGGATGACAATGAAAGAATTCAATGGCTCACAAACGGGTTCCATACTGCTTTTTAGTTGAAAAAACTCTGTCTACTTTCTTACTTTCTTGGTATCGAAATTCAAAGGTCAACTGAGGGCATTCATATTCGGCAAAGCAAATATGTCGATGAACACATGACCTGACATCTTATATGTCGTTCAAGTGGTTAGTGTCATATACTTTAACGAACAAACTACCCGACCTCAAAACATGACAAACATTTAATTTTTGTAACGATTCGGTAACAAACCTTTGCACTTAAAACAAAACGGTCACAAATTAAATAGCGGTGACCATTTTATACAATTTCAAAGTTTTGTTACCGTATTGTTACAAATTAAAGGTTTGTGACTGTTTTGTACTAAGTACAAAGGTTTGTTACCATTTATGCTAATTACCCATTAATTTTCATGGTGAAACAATTGAACAAGATAACTATTGTGTAGCCAGCTCGAAACAGTGGCGGAGGCAGAATCTGAAAGTACCTGTGTCCTCTTTCCATAATATAAAATAAATAAATATTTAAGAAATACAATTAAAACTAATAATATCTAAATTATTTATTCATATATATTAAATAAATACTAGACTAATACATTCATTATTTTTATAAGCAATCACAACGCATTTTCAAATTGTCAATGTATGCGACTAAGTAATCATTAGCAAATTGGTCGGAATTCGACTTTGAAACTTGTTTTTAATATAGCTCAAAACTAAAATTGTTCTTTCCACACTTGTAATTGTAATGAGTAGAGTCATTACAATACGGACCATTATTTGGTGTTTGGAGATTGGCTTGTCAGAGTTCGGTTTGATGGCTCGAAAAATTATTCGGATTAAAAAAAAAAATCGCTACGATTGGATACCCGAGTGCAAAGTTACGTTCGTTTGAAATTTCGGCCGAAGTTAAGAGTTGATCGGAAAAAAAAAAATTGGACCAAACCGCTGGGTGGGGCCGCGGTTTTGGCCCAAAACCGCCTCCCCACACAACGGTTTTTATAACCGCCCCTTAGCCTAGCGGTTTGCATAGAAAACCGCACCCCCACCCAGCGGTTTTTGTATAAACCGCAGGGTGGGGTGGTGGTTTTTGAAAAAGGGTGGTATTTTTGGAATTTTTTGGGATTGGGTGGTATTTTTTTGTTAGTGGTATTTCTGAAAAAAAGAATTGAAGGGCTAACACAAATTTGTGGGTTGGCTTGGGCTCGGATTTCAACCCAGTTCAACGTCGAGGCATGCCTCAAACCCACGCTTTCCAAAAGCAAAGCCCAATCAGAAAGGGAGTAACTTATGGATTGTGGACTCAAATTGGTTTGAAACAACCCAACAAAGCCGAGTCCTAACTGGGCCGAGTTCTGAGCAATTCCAAGCGAACGGATTAGGAACCGACCCGCAATTGATGGGAATGCCTGCCTGCCTGGCTGCATAGGTGGAGAACTGATGTGGCAAATTTGCATGAAGCAAAAAGGGTATGAAATCAAAATGGCACTACTCTACTCTACTCTACTCATACCACTTTTCCATCATTTCTTCATAGCAAAGATTCCACTGGTGGATTGAGAAAAAAAAAAGGGAAAAGATTCCAATGGTAAAGCAGAGAGGCTGGATGCCCTAGTATATAAACAAGATGATGAACCTACCCCATCTCTTGCTGTGGAGAAAGTTGCCGCATTTTGTATTGAATTCGCTGTTGGGAGGTTCAGTGAGCTGAGAACCTGCAACTCCCCATCTCCCCTCAACAACCATCGTTAGCATAGCAGTACATTGCCCGATTTTGCTGGTAATTCTCCATCTTCTAGCTTACTCTGTTCTGCTGATTCTTCCATTTCGAGTCTAGCGTTTACTTGATTGAATGAATGGCACAGGAGGGGATGGTGATGTGTTGGTAATTCTTCCCTCTCTAGTTTACTCTGTTCTGCTAATTCTTCCATTTTGAGTCTAGGGTTTATTTACTTGTGAATGAATGGTACAGGGGATTATGGTGTGCTGGTTATTCTTCTTTCTAGTTTGCTCTGCTCTGCTCTGCTAATTCTTCCATTTTCAGTGTAGGGTTTACTTGTGAATGAATGATACAGGGGATTATTTTGAGAGCAATGGTCATTCCTCCAATGCTAGCTTTATCAGGTTTTCTTATCATGCTCTCACTAGTGTGCAACACGGGTGGGGTGGCAGCATTGTCGTTCAGCTATAGCAGCTTCGATCAATGCAGCGACTCCATCAAGCTGTACGGAGAGGCATCTTGTATGAATTCCGGGATCCAACTGACCGGATTCAGATATTACGTGATCGGACAAGCTAGATACTTCAAGCCAATGGCCCTCTGGGATGCCACCACAGGCGGTGTCGCCAATTTCACTACCACCTTCACCTTTGATGTCAGCAGTAGTATTGACGGCAACAATGATGGTAGCAGCAGCAGCAGCAGCGAAGATGAGTCCTCGTGCTGCGACGGTTTGGCATTCTTCCTGGCACCGCAAAACTACAGCATCCCTGTGGGCGGGGGAGCCAGTGGAAGGTTGGGGCTTGTATCTGCTAACCTCACTTTCGACTCAGCGTCGCAAAATCCATTTGTGGCGGTTGAGTTCGACACCTAGAACAACGAGTGGGATGCGTGGAACGACAGCAGCCATGTTGGGATTAATATCAACTCTCTGCGGTCTGTTTCCAGCAAGAGATGGAATTATAATGGCAATGGTACTCGTCGAATGTGTGCACGAATTTCCTACAACAAGGATGCCAAAACGCTGTGCGCAAGCTGGTTTAGTAGCAGGGATGATAATGATCAGTTCGAGTTCGAGGATACCCTTTGCTATGGTGTTGATTTGACGAATTACTTGCCCGAGCATGTAGTCTTCGGCTTCTCCAGCTCAACCGCCTGGAGGTCTCATTCCCACAACATCAGGTCCTGGTCTTTTTCTTCTTCCGATCTAGTCACTGCTCGGCCCAACACAACCGTTTCATCTGGAATAAGAAAAGGCAGAAGTGATGGCAAAAATGTTCACTTGATCGTTGGATTGTCCATAGGAATGTTTCTGGCCGGTCTTGCTCTTGCGGCTGCATTGTTCCGTGTGTATCGGCTCGTCTGTTGGAGGCAGAATGAGGACCAAAAACCGTCGGCTGAGTGCCAATTGCTCAACTCTACCATGCGTGGTGGCAGAGAGGGGCAAGACAGCACTAAAGCTGGTCGTGGCAGTGCCGAGCAATCACCTCCGCTCGTACGATACATCTCTCCGGAGAGGGTTCGCCCAGCCGCAAACAATTTCAATGAGTTGCTGGGGAGAGGCGGGTTTGGCGAAGTTTACAAGAGAGAATTGGACGGTAAAGCAGTTGCGGTGAAGAGATTGTTCCAGGTGGTGGCGGCTGGTGGTGGGAGAGGCAACCTTGAAGGGTACATGGCAGAGCTAGCGGTGTTATTACAGTTGAGGCACCGCAATTTGGTTGAACTACTTGGATGGTCATGCGACAACTCGGGTCACCTCTACTTGGTCTACGAATACATGGAGAATGGTAGCTTGGACAGCCATCTATTCAGTAAGGGGCCTGGCCAGCAACCGCTTACCTGGGAAATCAGGTTCCGAATCGCCAAGGATTTGGGTTTGGGGCTAATCCACTTGCACGGAGGGCGCACGGCATGCGTGCTGCATAGGGACATCAAACCCGCTAATGTTCTGCTGGATTCTGATTTTACAGCCAAGCTGTCCGATTTCGGACTGGCTCGCGTGGTGGGACACAACGACCCCTCCCAGTCCTTGTACTACGGGACCCACGGGTACCTGGCTCCCGAGTGTTTGCAGACCAGGAAGTCAACTAAACGATCCGACATCTACAGTTTTGGGGTGGTGGTTCTGCAAATCGTTAGCGGGAAGCCGGCGTATGTGGCGATCAACGATTCAACCCAGCGCCGGCACATTGTGGAGTGGGCTTGGGGTCTCTATGGGGAGGGCCGTGATCAAGATGTAGTCGACCCTAAGCTAAATGGTGTGTTTGTGGAGGAACAGGTCCGTCTTTTGCTTCAAGTGGCTCTTCACTGTGCTCACCCAAACCCCTCCAGCAGGCCTCTGATGAAGGTCGTCATGGAAGTGCTGAACGGCAGCGGTAGATTGCCCTCTCCTCCACCATTGCAATATCCCACCAACCGTAGCTCCCAGGCCGGCCTCCTCCCGTGGCTCTCGCGAATCCTTGAAGAATCGCCGACTGTTTCCTCTCTGCAGCAGCAGCCAGTATCATCATCAGGAGTTGTTCCACCGCCACATGATCAGATTGACAGCTTTGATCAGCCTGTCCCACTCCCATGTGTTGTTAGAGCTCAGCCAGCTGCTTCCCGTCTCTATCGCACGGTCTAGGTGTTAATTGGAACAAAGGTCAGTTTAGTCCTTATGTTTTGTGTTTTGGTTAATTAAGTTTGTCGTCAAGATAGGAGTCTAAATTAGAGTTGTTAGCTAACAAAAAACTACGCAACCGAGAGCCCATCATTGTCTTCCACGCTCTACCTCTAGCTAACTGTGACGTGGTCATTATCACTGTTTTTTGGGCTTGGTTCTTCCTTCCTTTCAATTTCAATATCTTTTGCGCTGATTGTCTTTTGGGGAAGTAGATGAACACTTACTGGCTACTGCTATGAGTGAATGTAGGGCTGGTCATTCGGTTATCAGGTGTCAGTTAACCGGCCGGTTAAATCGATAACCGGTGGTTACCGGTTAACCGGCGAACCGAAAAATGGGGTCTCGGGCGGTTGGCGGTAGAGGGGCTAGCCGTGCCGATTAACCGGCTAACTGACGGTGATAACCGCTGGTTAACCGGCTAAGCGACACGGTTAGCCCTCTCTCAAAATGAAACGACGCTGCTCAGATCGAGCACGGAACCCCCTCTAAAAAATGAAACGAAACGACTCCCTAACCCAAATCGAGCACTCTCGTCTCTTCTGAAGCATCGCGACTTTGCGAATCGCGAGAGTGGAGAGCCTGCCGCCTGCGCCTGCCACTGCCGCCTGCCGCGCGAGCCAACGTGAAGTTGCCGCCGCCCGCCAGTCATCCCCTTCCTTCCGCCGTCGCGTGCACGTGACCTCGCCTCGGCCTCCTCTGCTCGGCGCTCGCAGCCAGCAGTCCTCCGCTGGTGCGATTCCAGAACGGCGACTAGTGCCCCCTCTCCCGGTTACTTTGGTTAACTGAGCAACTAACCGGTGACCGACCGGTCGGTTGCCGGCTAACCGACGGCTTCCGTCGGGCTGCTGGCGGTAACCATTGGTGACGTCGCGGTTAACCGATAATCGACATTTTGGTTATCGGTTATAACTGAACTAACCGAAAATCCAGCCCTAAGTGAGTGGTGGGCAAACGTGGGAACCAAATGTTGTTAGAATGAATCTATTGGAGTTTATTGGCTACCAAATTGCCTGTGAGATTATGGAGTATATGCTCAAGGGTTTCGTGGAGATAGAGATTAGAGAGAATAGTAGTTCATCTTAGGTTCCTTGTCGTGAGGAACAAGCTGAGGAAGCCATAAACCTTGCTTTGAAGTTCCAATTGAGAGCATCCTAACAATTGACTTTGTTGTAGTTTAGTTGTTTGTGTCCTCTGGGTTTTCTGCTTTGAGTAGCATAATAAGCATTTGACTTTCTTTTTAATTTACTTCTTTATAATCTTTTGAACCCAGCGACACTGGTTTGAGTAGTATTCTAAATTATGTTGTTTTATCTTGTGTGCAGTGCACCCTTTTGCTTGTAACTTGTACCCGTTGTAATCAATATATATGAACGAATTTGGAATATTAATGCAAAAAGGACTTGGGTGAGTCCCTCCTTGAGTTGTTCTTGGATTGAAGGATCAACTTTGTATATTTTTCATACTTGGATTTTGTCAGAATGGTCGTAGCTTTGCTTCTGGTTTTCTTGTTTGCGTGATCGGAGAGCTTGATTGGGAGCAGTCAGGTTTTGCTCATGGCCAGGAACTTGCTAGCCATGGGAATGGAAGGGTAGTGTTGAAAAGTAACTCCAGTGGATTATTCGGCTCATACTAAGCCTATTTATAACCTTTGTTTGCTCTTAATCTTCGGATGAAAGCTGGACATTGCCAAGTTGGTCACAGTACTAGTGGACCAGAAGCAAAACTACAAAATAGTTCTTCCCACAAATGCTAGATGAATGTACTTAACTAAAGGTTTGCTTGTTATATATAGTTCTTATTATTTGTCTAAGCTCTGCACTTTTGTCCAAGCTAAAGAGCCCTCTTGGCTCTTTGCAATGATGCGAAAGATGCCTCGGTATGAATGCCAGATGCACAAAGTTCAACACTCAGTCTGCGAGCCCACTCTGCTTCATTTGTCCGTCAATAAATTCTGCATCATAAGGTTGTGAGTCTTTGACGGTGTACATGAAGGTTGGGGAGGGGACTGGGGATTTTCTGCTCCATTAAACCATTACCATTATCTTTGTGTGGAGTGAGAGTCAATTGGTGGTTGGTGCTTTGGTGGTGAATGGTGATTGGTGAAACCGTGAAAGGCTACAAGCTTTCTTTCTTGCTATTCCATGCCTCCATTAATCAATTAATGTGTCCATTTGGCCATTTGTGGCTCCATTAATTACCTCGTTCGATCGGTTGTTCCTCTGCTCGGCAATAACATATACACAGCCACACTGCAAAAGCCAAAAGCAAACCACAACAGATTAATAAATTTTGATTTGTCAAATTATAAATAACTAGATAATTGGCCCGCGCTCCGCGGCGGGTAACGATGAAATTGAAAATTTTGATATTTTGATTGCAATTAGATTGATATTGACAAATTTTTTATTAGTTTTCTTAAAAGTAGATACCACTTTGTATTTGTGGAGGGCTTAAGACTTTCTTAAATTAAAGTATAGGTTTACCATAAACAAAGACTTTCTTAAATGATTTATCATGCATATAATTTGTTTGATACACAGTTGGTAATTGAAATAAGTCAGGATGAATAGTTTTATATGTATAGAAGGGAAACCCAAGAAAATATTAAAATTTTTAAATATTCGTATGGTATCTTATAATTTAAATGTAGCATAATTATCCAAGTTTTAAATTTTAAAACAGCATTGGGCTAGTTTGACCATACTTTACCTTTTGCAAAACCAGCTTTTGGCTCGAACTTTTAATAATGCACTAAAAACACAATTTAGTGTTTAGTTGAAAAACTATCAGAATTTTTTTTAATTTAAGAGTCCATGTAAAATGGATAAAAACGCATAAAATGAAAAGTTGTCAAAAGTCTTGTTTGATTTATTTTATATTAAATAATATTATTTTCTAATTTATTTTTGTTTTGAATAAGATAAATTACGGAAAATTATGTTCTCAGAAAAAAATTAATATAATAAAGATAATCTTGTACTTTCAAGAAGATTTTTGCTATAACTCCAAATTGAATCCTCTATTATTATGTTATATAAAGCACTTTTCAATTTTCTTCAAAAACCAAAGTGTTTGGTCCAATTTCAACTTTTGAAATAGAAAAACAATTCTAAAATCGGGCTAAACATAAATATTATGTCAAAGATGTGTAATTCCTATCAATGACTAAAAAGTAAAAATTGACATCTTTATATTTTTAATTGAATTCAATGTTGGGTTTCGGCAATTCTCTCATCAAATGAAACCTTTCATAAATTCTAATGGTGTAAATAAACATGCATCGACACATCAATGACCCTTTCTTATTTCATGAACTTTCAAAAGATTGAGCAGTCAACAAATCCAAAATATTAACAGGTTGTTTGTTATATTTTATATTCCAATTTTTTTTTCTGACAGATTCTTCAAGTCCCTAATTAGTATATACACTACACGTGGACAATGGAAGAGTGTCCCTTCCCTAAGCATGCATCATGATTAACCAAGTCCACAACTTCCTTTATCTCTTTACTTTTTAAAGTTTCTTTCTTCTACCTCTTTTCACTTCCCATCCTCTCTCCCTCGGTGCAAACGCTTCAACAAATTAAAAGCTTGGGTGGCGAGTTTAGAGTTGTGAAGGAAAGAGAAGTCGGATTTTAGACTCATGACATTGAGCCGGATTAAATTACTTTTACTAAAGCTTATAATCTCAAAGATGTAATCTTGCATCGCATTTGGAGTCTAGACTGAGAAGAGGATGGAAGCGCGGTGATTTTTATTTCCCATTCAAGTGGTTTAGCAAGTGAGAATGGAATGGAGGGATATTCCAAAACTGTTTAATTTTTTGCAAAGGTAAGTGTACTTTTTCATCTTTGCATGTGAGAATTTGGAGCAGATGGGGGACAGTCGGAAATTAAGGGGCTCTGTTTTTGCAACCTCAGTTACTGTTTTCAATAGAGCTTTGGAATAGGAGGATGTTGTCGATTTGGATGGCCAAGAAGAATTTTATTTAATTTCAATTTTATTTAGTAGGCCTGTTTGATGTTCTTACTTCTTTGCAAGTATCTCGTTCAATTCCTCCTTGCAGATTGAAGCAGAAACAAACTTGGTCACTCAGCCGGAGGTGAGTCAAAACTTAAATCGAAACCCTCTCCCGATTCGTCGTGGGAGAGGGGAAGAGACCGAAGAGAAGGAAGGAGCTTCCAGAGGGGGCTTGCTTACGGTTCTTTTCTCAAATCCAGAAACAGAGGTAAGAGTTCAACTCAGCCAGCCTCCAATCAGAAGAACCATGGTAGAAAATTAGCTATCCAACTCGGCCAATCGCCAATCGGTCGACAGGGGGGATCACGAATCCGTAATTGTTGAGGGTAGTAATGCGAACGAAAGAAGTGACGGGTAGGAAGCAGGGGATCTCGGGACGGAACAAAAAGGGTGCACAGGTGCTTACGGTGTACCTACCCGTAGCCCACTGGACCCCTTAAGTAAAACAGGCGCTTTATATATACTAATAATACACTGGCCATTGCTCCTCTGCTCTGCTACAAGCCTGCAACACAGACACGGATGCTCTCCTCTGCTCGGCGATAACAATTAACACCAAAACACAAACAGTGAAACAATTAACAAATTACAAATCAAATTTCATTACATGCAATCGATGGAAAGGACGAACTGAACTGCTGGGCGCTGGGTCGAGCAATTAAGCTCCGGCGGCAACGAGGTCGACGGGAACAGAGCCCGAGGTACCGTACTGGGCTGCTGGGTTGTGTCTCGTGACTGTGGCTCGAGCGTGCTCCGGCGACGGAGAGGACGAAGATTCTCCAGGTTTCAGTCGGCCGACGTTTGGATTCGAAGAGCGAGGAGGAATCGGGCGGCGTTAATTGTCATGCGGCAGGCAGGGAGCGATGCAAAGAGATTAATAGACTATCAACTAATTACTAGTACCTAGGTTAATTACTTAGTTGGGAGGCTTGGGGCGACGT